AAAAAAAAAAAAAAAAAAAAAAAAAAAACAGGCTCTGATGTTGACAGTGCACAAGTCTGCTCTCGCCATCCCTGGCTGCAAAAGAGGCAGATGGTCTGTACTTTAGATTTATATTGCACAAAATGAGAAACTTTCTTCTTTTTATTTTTTTTAACTATGTGCCTTATTTTTTTTTCTTTTTTTTCCTTTTTTTTTGTTTTTTTTTTGCTAAAATCGAGAATCCAGTTTCATACCTTCCATCTGGGGCCCCATCCACATATCACAGCGTATGAGATACATAAAGTCCTACTATAGTACAGTACATATACAATCTTTTAAACTAAGATAACAGCTCTGAGGTCTATATCACCATTTTCAATAAATCTTTACCTACAAATATTGAACAAATCTGAACTATCGCTGTACAAAAAGGAAAAAAAAGTGTTTTGTTTCTTATTTCTTGTTAAAACCACAAGGCCTTTAGATGCAAGGATTATTTTTCTTTTAATTTTAATCCTTTTAAAACCAGGACGTAACGTACCAACAAACTTGCATGCTAAAAACAGAGGAAAAAAAATAAAAAGAAAAAATAAAAGGGAAGAAGTGCCTGAAAAGTCTTACTGAAAAAACACAGCAAGAATGTTCCCTTTTCACTGTACAAAAATACGCCTGAAAATATATTAATTTTTAAAAAAGACTGAGGTCTGTTATGTATCAAAAATGTTTCAATACCTTTTTGTACTGAGGTCTAGGCTGTCTGGTATTCAATCAAGGAGGTATAAGGGAACAAGTTACAAAAAAAAAGTTGGCAAGTAGAAATCACATTTGTAAAACCATAAACAATTTGATCTGAAAAGTAAACTCTGATCTTAAGTCAGTTCAGTGTTTTTGTTTTTTTGTTTTTTTGTAAGCGTTTGTACAGTCTGCATTTTTTCAAGCTCCCTGCAGCTTTGTTAAGAATCGGATGCATAGAAGACATCAGTTTTCTCCCTCCAAAAAAAGTTGCAATGGTCCCTTTCAGATAATAATAATTAAAAAAAAGCAGAACACCGGAACAGTTCTTGAAGCTCTCTCTGTCTCACGGAAAAAGGAAAAAAAAAAAAAAATCCACAAACCCCCTTGAGTAACAGTTGTGCTGCCACAAGACTTCTTCGCAGACCATCTTCCAGACTTCAATCACAGACCGACCAGCTTCAAACAGCGCCTTCTGTAGCATTTTCCCCCAGTCCCATTTGCCTTTGTTGTTGTTGTGATCACCAAATGCAAGGAAACATAAAAATAAAAATAATGATTAAAAAAAAAAAAAAAATCACAACTCCGGGCTCGGTTTGGAACGAACTTCGAGACACTTTTCTTTTCTTCTTTTTTTATTGTTTTTGCGAAAGAAAAAACGAGCCTTTTTTTGTTTTCTTTTTCAGGATCTCATCCCCCCGCCTCCCCATTTCATCGCATCAGCACCAGCATCATCTCTCCGGCCTCTGCCCGGCGGCTCCCAGAGAAGCTGCCCAGGCTCTTACGCCATTTACCCAGCC